ATTTCTCATCATTTTTTCCTTTCCCTTCTTTCCTTTCCCCTGCCCCTCCCACTACCCCTACCCCTTTGGACCTTTTCTTCCTATTTTACATTATTGATTATTCAAGAATGTGTATTCTGATTTTGTGGGGTGGAACACTCTGTAAACATCTATTAAGTCCATTTGTTCAATAGCTTCGTTTAGCTCTAGAATTTCATTGTTAATTTTTTTCCTAGTTGATCTATTTGTGATAGAGGGGTGTTGTGGTCCCCCACTACAACCGTGTTAGTGCTTATTTGGTTTTTCATGTCCATTAATATTTGTCTTGTATAGTTGGGAGCATTTGTATTTGGTGGATATATATTTAGGATTGTCATCTCTTCCTCTTGGATTGTTCCTTTCACAAGGATGTAGTGACCATCTTTGCCTCTCTTAATTAGTTTTGGTTTGAAATCTACTTCGTCTGCAAATAAGATTGCTATGCCTACTTTTTTCTGGGTTCCTGTTGCGTGGAGAACTGTTTTTCATCCTTTTACTTTCAGTTGGGAGGAGGCAATATTAGTACAAGGGAGTATTACTGAAGTTACTACATCTATTAGCACATGAGACTCAATTCCACTGGAGACCTGTGGTGAGCTGGTTAGAATGTATGTTAGAGTTGTGAACCTGAAGCTAGTTGTGGTGATGCACAGCTGTAATCTCAGCATTCCTGAAGGCTGAGGGAGGAGGATCACAAATTTAAGCCCAGCCTGGGCAATTAAGCATCTGAGGCCCTGTATCAAAATAGAAAATTAAAAAAGGTCTGGGGAAGAAGCTCAGTGAAAAGTCCCTTGGTTCAATCCCCAGTAGAACCACCACTAAATCAAACAAACAAAGAAACAAACATAGGGATTTGCATCTGAGACAAAGAGATACGGTAATTATCTATTGGTCTACTAGTTCCTGTCTTCATTGATTGAGGGTTGCCTGGAGTGATATCAACTCATATACATTTGTAGCTACATATGCTATCAGGAGGTGGAATCTGTTCCAAAGTATTGGGTTACTGGAGGTGTGGCCTGGAAGGATGTATCTCCCTCCCAAACTCCTCCCTTCACTCTGCTTCCTGATCACCATGTTGTGAGCAGCTTTTCCTCTGCCATTCCCCTTTCCACGCTACCCTGCCTTGGGGCCAGCTGATTATGAGCTAAAATGTCTATAAACCATGAACCAAAATAAACCTTTTCTTTTTGTTGCAGGTGTTGGATAGTGTGTCTCAGCAATGAGAAAGTGACAAAGATAGTGTTGGTCATATTTAACTCATCCTTTCCAAATATAACACAGACTTTCTCTTCCCCAAGGTTAATAACTGCATGGTCTCATTGAGTTCAAAGTCCAGAATCTCTGTGTGCCATGAGGAGTCATTGTATCAGAAGATAGTGTACAACTTTTCCTGTAACAAATTTGGATGTGGTCCTTTTGATCCAAAAGCCATTTACTAAAAAGGTAAGTTATTTGTTTTCTATGTGTTCAACATACAACAGTGGAACAAGGACAGGATAATTATCACAAAACTCTGATTCCAAAGGAAGAATTGGAGACACATGATGGTCACTGATCTAGAGTAATTCTGAAATCCCACTGGGCAGATGATAAAAGGATGCCTCAAGTGGATTCTATATCTTCACCCAGAGAGTGGCTTCTTAATCCACTGTCCTGTGACTTGGCATCTAAGGGCTTCACAGATGGAATCTAATGCCCTTCTAGAGAACTTTCAATCTCCAGGTCCCTTAGTACTATCTACCAAAAGCACCATCTGATTTTTCTCTTCTCATCATGCATGTCCTGTGACTTCCTGCAAGGCTTGTACTCTTTCTCCTGTCTGACAAGATACTTTCTTGCTCAGATTTTGGGAAAGCCCTTCTTCATCCTCCAAAACTCAGCTTAAACATACCTTATTTTCCTTGACATTCATCTTCCTATATCCACCCTTCACTAAGAGAGAGTAAATTGTTCTCTTACATGTTTTGAGAGCAATTTACTTTATATCTGTTATTTCTCTTACTATATTATAGGTATCTGTCTGTCTATCTATCTATCTATCTATCTATCTATCTATCTATCTATCTTGTATGGTAATTTGGATTTCCCCAAACAGAGACTGTACATTATTTGCCTTTGAATACCTGGAATTAGCAGAGTATTTGAACTTGGAGTGCACTCATGGAGTGTGGGTTGAATTATATTGCTGAATGTCTACCTATAAAAGCCGCCTTTGAATAGCAAGATATTTAGCAATGTCTTTGTTATGTAGAATAGATTTTATAAGATTAGAAGGTGATAAGCAGTAGCAACATCCTTGAAGTCTTTGGAGATTAATGTGGCTGATGAGATATGTTATCTGCTTTTTGCCAAGTTCAGGCTATGGGAAGAAATTGAAGCAGTATTGTGTGCCCTAATCAGAGCAAGGTAGTAGAGATATGTCAAGTCTCAATTCTCCAAAACAGTGTCAAGAATCTCCTGGGGTGAGAGGTTAGGGGAAAAAGAACTGATGAAATAAACAAGACAGAGGAATGCTAGCTTTCAGGACCCTTAAGTAGGCAAGGATCCAGGAAAAAGAGAGCTTTTTGAAGTTATAAGCAGAATGGGATGGTTGTGGGTAACTCACTTAAATCCTTTCCTCCTTTCTTTGTTGTCTTATGCCCAGTCCTCACGTTCCTCTAAGAAGGATAGTCAGTGGGATTGAATGGCTAGAGTCTGGATATTTTCTAAGGTACAGTGTATGGGGAAATTCTGACTGATCTGTAGATTTACATTTAATAAATTGCAGGGTGGGATTGACAGTTCTTTCCAAGCTCCTTGAATGGGAGGAATCTTGGGAGTAAGCTGGAATGAGATAAAAACCAGATAGGGATGTAAGGTGTTTCATGTTTCTTAGTTCTTTTCATGAGACTCATCAAGTTTTTGGGAAGTTCTGATTCAGATGGCCGCTCTTGTCTTGATCTTCTCAATCAGCTGTTTCAGAGAACTGATAAAAAAGTCACATTTCCCCCTAAAGCAAACATAGAACAGTTCCAAGATAAGATTAATGCTACAAATTTGAGACTCACTGTCTACCCTTTCTCCAAAGCTTTCTGCCTGAGGACAATGGTGGCTGCAGTGGGAGGATTGGCTGCTTACCTCACTCATGAGTTTAATCCTCACTTGAGCTCCCACAGGGGCACAGGAGGGGTCTGTATTCCAGTGGCTATCTTTGCTTGATTTACTGTCAGTTTACCTATGTATCAGATGAACAGAATTCAGTAGAACCTGGTCCTAGGACTTTAACTCAAGGCTCTGAGGAGATGGACTCCCAGCTGTTTCACATAAAGGACAAATGAAGACCTGACATGATTGGGGGTTAGGGACATTTAATTTAACAACTCTGTAGAATTGTCCTGGGGTGGGATGTGTGTGACAATACTTGTATAAATATTTTAATACTAAATTTATTGAGACATAATGAGATTAATGCAAGTTACTTTGGGTCTCTACAATTGTAAGAGGTGCTCAAAGTCATGGCCATTAGCCTCAAGACATTTATTAGTACAGTAAACTGCTGCTTAAGTAACCTTGGTCATTGAGATTGCTGCACAAACATTTTAAGTTTCTTCTCTAAGGGCTGGCAGTGTAGTGGATTTCCTGTGTTATACAACATCCTCTATGGTCCCCCATATGAGGGTAACACCATCTGTAGAAAAAATATATTATTTTTCCTTTCCTGAAGTGTGTATACAGCTTTTTGGCATACTCTGTATATGGTCTTAAGTGTGCATGACAGATATGTGAATCTTCAATGGAGAGTCACTCATAAGTGTCACTTTTCAGTTTTGTGAGGAAGGAAGAGTAGCATAAGTGACTCAAGCTTGAAAGTTTCTGGTGTCAAAAAAAACTGTGGACAGTATATTTTCTCCTGGCCTGCACTATAATCTGAGGAGTTGTAGGGCTAAGGAATTACTTACTTTGAGACAAATATATACCAAGCACTTATATTGTACAAAGCACTGTGCATGCACTGGAGATAGACACTTGTTGATTCTGCCCTTGAAGATTCCCTGTTCTCATAGCTTTGTGAAAGATTGTGGTAAAGATAGAGGAAGAATGGGAGTTGGTGTGTACTTAACTCCAGCTTGGTTCAGAGAATTGTGGCTGCCCCTCCAACTCCACACTACTTGGGAATGGGGTCCTGCAGGGGCTGTGGTGTAGAAGGGTGGAGAAAAGCATTGTGCATAGGAATGAAGACTTCATCCTTTTGCTGTACAGATCTTGAGTGTATCTGGCATCTCTTGTGGAGCTATTTGTTTCCTTCTATGTGACTATGCAGGACACAGGTGAAGGGACCTTCAGCAGAAGGGTGGGACAACAGAGATAGCAAGATGGAGGATTTAGACCAGAGGAGCTGTGGGTGGAAGTATGGGTGTGAAAGAGATGTGCTTAGGTGAGGTTAGCAGATGTCCTTCCCCCTATGAGTTATGTGTAAGTTTGTGACAAAAAGGCTACTTTCTGTGGATGGGAAGGCAATGAAAAGGCTAGATATGGGTCATTAGGGCTCTTGCCTTGATTTGGCTCTGTTCTCAGGGTTTTGGGCATTTTATCTGCTCCTCAGAGCTAGATTTACCCTTGCTCTTGATGATATTTCTTGTTTTTTAATCAAGAAGCAGAGGCAATTTTCATATTCTTTATCAGTTGGTGACAGTTTTATGTGTTGATTGTGATAAGAAAGTAAAATCTGCCAAACATATTTATATAAGCATACTTTTTCATTAAAATTAGCATGATAATTGTTGATCACAGAAACACGAGTAAGAACCCAAGCATCTGTGTGCACACATGCATAGTACTAAAGATATGATTCTTAAAAGCAACAGTCCCAGCACTCATTATTCTTGATCTCATTGTTCAGAGACAAATACTTGTAATTGCACCTACAGTATTTTATTTGCTTTCTGGTAGTTGTCTTCATTGTTCTAAGTATCACAAACTTACATTTCTTGATTTTAAGCATTAGGCAAAAGATTGACTTCTTGATAGAAAAGTAGGGAATTGGCTTACTTTCTCCTACCTGTGTGTGGTTAAAAGGATCAAGAATTGCAGAATCTTCCTATGAACATACGTTCCATGCAGAAGTGATACGCTCTTTTCTCCCAGCTTTTCAACCCAACAGGTGAAGGGAGGTGGGAGGTCTCAGTGACTAACAGTCTCCTGTCCTAATGATTCTCAAAATGTGGCTTTTATGTTTCTCTACTCCTTCCCACAAGAATGTCTCTTTGGTGAGGGTCTTGTAAAAACCACCTTCTTATGCAGGTGTCAAGTCAACATGACCAGAATCACCAGAGGGAAAAAATACTGGCTTCTCAAAAAGAAGTACAAGGCTGGGGATTTAGCTCAGCTGTTCCACCACCTGCCTTGCAAGTGCAAGGTCCCGAGTTCGATCCCTGGTACCAAATAAAGAGAAGTACAACCTTTTTAGAAGCTTTGGTATCAGACAAAAATGGGGTTACTTTCTCATTCATTCAGCCCTGGTCTTCAAAGTACACTCCATTTTGCCTCACATTTGTGATTATCCACTGCCTACTATTTCACAGTATCTTGTTAACTCTTTTTACCCTCAGTCCTTCATTACCAAGAGTTAAAGAGGTTTATTATTTACACACAAACATGCCAAGCATTTGCCTTACCTCAGTCAGACTAGCCAAAAGTCTAATTACTGCATCAATTTTTTGGTAGTTTGAGGGAACTTCAGAATCTTGGAAATTCAGGTGAGGAGTAGAGATGTGGCCTAAGATGAGTGGGATGTAGAAGAGAGTGCTAAGGTATGGAGATGCTGGTATAGCAGACTTGCAAAGAGGTGTTTGACACACAAGTACTTGAGCTTTTGTTGTCTTTCCTAGGTAGGGCAGTGTGTTAAAAGCACATTAAAAACATCACTGGGGACAATCTTTACACTGAACACCCAGAAGTATGTACAGTGTCATGGTGATGGCCCACAGTGGAAAATGTAGGCACTTGTCAACAAGACCTGATGCACATACACGTGTATGAGCATAAACATACAAACATAGCAGTCAAACAAAAGTTTTGGGAGACAATATTTATCTTAATGATGCACAGTGTTCTCTGTTAGCATCTGTGTTGTTCTATTCTATTTCATTCAACTCTAGGATAAAACTTGAGCGGCATGGTTTTAAAAGGATGATTACCTGCAATATGAAAGATACTGATCTACATCTCTTTCTTCCTCTGAATCAATGTTTGTTGGTAGAGGAAGAGAAAGACCCAAGGAGAATAGATGGAGAAAGGAGACAGGCCCTAGGATAGGACTTTAAATGCTTCATCACAAGACAAATGAGTTAGAATTAACTCAGCGCCCATGCATATCATTTATTGTCATACCCATTAGATATATTTTATTACCTCTATAGCAATTCTGTAAAATAGGCACTGTTATCTCAATTTTATTGATCTGATATTAAAGTTTATGGTTCAGAATTAGATTTTTCAACTTCCAAATTAAGGGTCATTTCTTTTCTATGACCCAAGAGAAATAGAGGTTTTGCCAGTGGGGCCAGGAAATACAGATGTAAGGGAAAGGTGACTGGCTCTAGGGAGAATTGTTTTCTAATCTTCTATCAGGAACTAAGATTAGTTTTGCAGTGTCAGCGTGTGAGGTATTACACATTTTTGTTACAACCACCTTGGGAAATGTCATGACTGTCTACTTACAAATGTATAATTAAGACCCAGGCACATTTACCTTGCCCAAAGTCAGACAGCTCATAATTTCAGAACTGGGTTTCTATGAGCTGTCTTCTGCTTTCCCTGAACTTGGAGGGGAAAGTCCATGGGAAAGCAGGCTAACATGACACAGTGTCAGTTTTCTGTAGATTTGTAATGTGTGTAGTTCATAGACGAGGGCCTGCAGGAATAAACACCTTCCCCACATTATTCTATATGCCTTTGATTAAACTTGGATTTGTGACTGGGGTGATTCATTTCTTAGTTTATATGGACTGGATCTCTGTTGCTCTCAATTTGATTTGCTTAACCCCATCCATAGCTCTGATCTTCTCTAGAATAAGACATTTACACAGATTCCTAATGTTTTCTCACATTTGAGCATCTTAGGATTCTCAGTACTACTTTCTTCATCCTCTAAGGATGCCGAATAAATTACAGAATTCCCAGTTAAATTTTTATTTCAGTTGAAAAAGCAAGTCATTAAAATATGTATATACCCCAAATATTGAATGATATATACTTATACTAAAATTTTTGTTTATATAAAATTCAAATTTAACTGAGTTGTGAATTTTTATTTGGTAAAATTATCAATCTGACTTAGGGCATACTACCACCAGCAGGATAGAGGAGGACATGGAGGTCGAGAAGTCTTTTTCTATGGCCCTGCATCAGCAAGACCCAACAGCAGAGGGTTAAACAAATAAGAGATTTCTAGTTTTCACTCTTTCTTTAACTTGAAAAGATATATATATATATATATATATATATTTTTTTTTTTTGTACTGAGGATTGAACTCAGGACTTTGCACTTGTGAGGCAGGTGCGATGCCACTGAGCTAAATCCTGGGCCCATATTTTCCTTTTTGAAATACTCCACACTGCACAATGTTTGTGAGTAGACAGGGGATCAAGCAAATGATGAATGAAAATATCCTCAAGTGTGAGAAAGATATCTCAGGGTTGTGGCATAACTCAGAAACATATTTCTCCTTGTGGAATTTCACTCTGATATTTCCTTTTCTGCTTACTATTCCTACAATAACTTACTATTAGAGGATAAAAAGTCCAGGGGTGCCCTTTTCATGAGTTTTGGAAAGCTCTTTGACCTAGATGGTTTCTCCTGTAGGCCGCACTCCTAGCTCTCTCAGAATCTGATAGGTAGCTCACTCCTTAAGTCACCATTGTCTGCATCTCAGAATTAATACTATGGCCATGATGATCTTATCTTTTCTGGGTAGGCTGCAGGGTTTGCACGCTGGTTAGGCAACATCTATCATTTTTATTCCAGTGGTTCACGTGATGCTTGTTTAATTTGGGGTTATTGTCAATGTGGTTACCACTTGTGAACTCATTCCAGCTCTTCACAGTCTCCACTGTTGCTTTCTCTGAGTCAAACTGTGAGAATATAATTTCTAGGTTGGAATAATGGTCATATAAAGGCTGAATAGTCTCCATCTGCTGAGATTTTTATATTATGCTGAGGCTCTATGAAGTTATCTCAGTGGCCTATATTTCCCTCACATTTTGCTTCCTCAGTTGCAAGAGGACTGTCTCCTTTCTTAATGGCAGATGCTACTCAGGATACATATTTTCGGTGAGGCAGATAAGGCAGGTAGCATGAAGGTTCATGAAGTGCCAAGCGATGTGAGATGAACGAGGCAGGTGGTATCAACTGCACATACTGACAGCCACGTGGCAGTCAGTACTCCAGGCTGTCATTTAGAGAGTATTCTTTTTTTAAAAAAATTAGTGTATATTTGAGATACATAACAGCGACCTTCATTTTGGGGAATTGGTACACATATATTATATCTTGATCATTTTCAATTCCTTTACTCTCTCCCAACTCTGTAGCCTCCACTTTTCCACGATCCCCTTTTCTATCTGCCTCCATGTTTCACATTATCTCATTTTTTCCTGTCTTGCATATGGTGTCATGGGATTAAATGAGATAACAGAAATACAGTAGTAGGTGAAGAGTTAAAAAAAAAGTTAATTTTTCTTTTGAATTTTCTATGGCCTTGGGTTAAATGACCTGATTCATGGAAGTGGTATCAGTACATTGAGACTCCAAACCTACAAGGGCAGAGATAGAGATCTCTATACATATCTTTTGGATTTCCTGAGTGCATTAAAGGTCTACAGCATGGGACTCAACTTCACTCATTGTCACCTTTTTAGCAATGTGTTTCTTTGCACCTAAATTCTCCTTCATCCGTAGGATGCTTGAGTCTCCCTCACCTTGGTGCTGAGGTACAGCAGGGCCCTTTACAATGCTGACTCTGAGTAAAAATTCATATAAATTCTCTAGAGGTTGCGTAGAGGCCAGGTAAGAACCAGGATGCTCATAAATGAGGCAGTTGGGGGTGGGGCCAGGGTGAGATAAGAGAGGCACCTTGAGTACAGTTTGAGGGGTGCTGTCTCTCTCAGGGTCACCCAAGAGTCTCCTTGCAGGACCTCTCCTTGGAATTGTGCCCTGAGCACCTCTCTTGTCTCACCCTGGCTCTGGCCCTCATGCCTATTACTTGCAGGAAAGGCCCTAGAGATGGAGCAGCTGGTGGGGGGGGCTGAGGAGTAGGGAGCAGTGTACCGTGAGGTGCTGACATGAGGAAGCCCCGGGGCAATTATTCTAAATGCTAATAAGAAAAAAGAGCAGGATAGAAGCATGTTCTGTAAATATGATTTTCATAGTCTGGTCACCTCACTCATCACAGAGTCTTTTCTTGGTCTGTTTGAATAACTATGTGTTTGTGAATTTAAAGCTTACCCAATATAAAATACTTTTTAGAATACATAATGACTTACAAAAATCTTTAATTTTAAAAAATCTGCCTTAATCACTGTATTAGTTCCCTATGGGTGTTTTAATCAAGTACCACTCACTAGGTAGCTTACAGCAACAACAACAATGACAATGATAACAACGATTTCTTCTCTCACAGTTCACAGCTTGAAATCAAGGTGTCAGCAAGTTGGTTTTTTTCCTAAGGAAGGCTTTGTTCCAGACCTCTCTCCTAGCTTCTGGTGAGGGCTGGAAAGAAAACATTGATGTTTTCTGGCTAGCAGATGCATCACTCATCCCTGCCTCTGTCTTCATGAGGCCCTCTCCCTGTCCGTGTTTCTGTTCTTCTCTTTTAAGCAAGCTGTGTTGGTTTAAAGGTCCTTCCTGTTTCAATATGACCTAATTTTAACTTCAGCCTGCTGGGGATCTCCTCTAGGCATCACCTGAACACCTCTGGAGCTCAGCCCCATGACTCTAGCTCTTTCCCAGTCCTTCAGTGCCTTCCTGAGAACTCAGATATAAGATCCATAGTGGGAATGGGGACCTCCTTTGAACCCAGTAAACCAGTTCTGTACGCCATGATTAAGGACATTCCTGTCATGGGAAGCTTAGGGGACATTAGCCTATGGACTTCTCTTTGTTCCTTATCCATGTCTGTAGGGCTCTCCCCAAGACTAGACAAGGTTGTTCTCTTATAGCACTGTACTTCCAGCTCTTCTTCATGGGTTAAGCCCAAAACCATGCCATTAGCTAGCAACCCCAGGCAGCATCCTTGGCTGTGGCCATCTTCACCTCATTTAGCCCTAGGGCAAGATGAGGTGTCTCACAACTGTGAGGATTATTGTCTTGATTGCAGGTCCCCATCCAAAGCAGGTGAGACTTAGAGGCTCAGATCCTGCCCTCCATTTGCTTCCTACAGACAAGGTTTGGAATACGATTTCTGTTTCCTGAAGGCTTCCCCAGGCTGCTGAATGGGCTGGAACTCAAGAGAGGAAATGCCATCCTCCTTATTTCTGGTTCTCCTGAGGGCCTTGGGTTTGATGTCCCTGCATATGAGTGTTTGAGGGCTGTTTTCCTTAGATGAAATGGAATAAAAGGGGACAGACTTGCTATGTCCATTTTCTGACTCTAAACTAATGACCCATCCCAATGATATTGCTTAAGGTAGCATTCTCCAAAGAAACAATTAAGCTTATGATTGTTGGAAAGGTTTTGTAAAATGCTGCATGTCATAACACTGGGTCATAATGTAGCCATGGGTTCTTGTACTGCTGAAGATACTGTTGAAACAGTGCTAATAGAAGATAAAAATCAAGGTGGTTCTTAATCATTCTGGGAAATATTCTACCTACAACTAAGTCTTGATTCTGATCATTCTTTATTTGTCTGATTGCATGCACTGTTGAGAGGTTTTTTGCCTTTTTTGGGAGAAAAGTTTCCCTGAGCTTGTGAGGTCAGCCCTGTGCTGCCCCTGAGCCCTACTCACTGAACACCATCTGCTGAGGCCATTTTCTTCTAAGCACTGCATTCTTATTATCAATTATTGCCCTTTCACTCTTCTCCCTCTTTCTTCTTGAGGTTCCAGAACTGGACGGATGAAATTTGGAGTATGCCAATAGAGGGATTCCCGAAGATACCCAGAGAACTCTGACTCTGCCACTTAATGGAAATGTGCGGATGGTGGGAAGCCCCACACAGGCTGATTCCACCTCAGAGGCAGGATGTGATGGACCACATAGTCCCACATGGGAATCCTCTCCACTGTGTGTCACAGAAGCCTGGAGGGACACATGGCTACAGATTTTGGAGAAAAGGGAATGTGAGGAGCACAATCTCCAGAGTGGAAGAGACCAGGCAACTCTGTTCCTGTGGAGTACACAGTAAATGAGTTTGAGGGTCAATCTCTTTTCTAAGACTCATGTTTTAAAGAAGAAGAACATTGTATGTCACCATTTCTTCATATTTTTCTTTTTCACCAGAGTGACAATTTTCTCCCAGGAAGTAATTTCACCAACACAGCATATTTAAAACCCATGGTCTTTTGTGATTCCAGGTGATGGAGTAAGGTCTTAATCGCTTTCCTTTTGTCTTCTCTAGGGTGCTCTATGATTTGACACATGGGACATGATCATCAACAAGCTTCCATAAATTCCAGTCATGCACATTTTGTATGGTCACGTGAAATGATAATAGTAGAGAGTAATGGGATTAAAAAATGGAAGTTGTGGGCTGGGGGTTTAGCTCAGTGGTTCTGCTGCCTGCCTCGCGAGCACAAGGTCCTGAGTTCGATCCCCCGTACCAAAAAAAAAAGGGAAGTTGTATCGACATTAGAACTAAATATTCTTACTTTTCTATTGAATTTCCACCCCAATCTTGGTCACAGGGGACTCTGAGAACAAAGCCCAGGGATCTGTGGGATACAGACTAACACCAGGTTACCTGAACACCAGCTTATTGAGTACTTTTTGTCCTCATCATTGTATCTCCAGGACTCAGAACTAAGTTGTAGTGACCCACCTCTAACCAGGCCTCTCCTCCTAATAGCACATTCAGCTATGAACTCATTGATGAATTAATTCACTGATGAATATAGCACCCCATAATCCAATCATGTTGCAAATCTCAAACTCCTTACAGCCATTTATGTCTTAATGGATGGAGAAGCATCCCCCCATATAAAGAGCAGCCCTGAATTGCTGTCAGCAGTGGTAGGTGTGGTCTAGAAGCTAGTCTGCTGGCTGTGAGCATAAGGGATGAGCCAAAATATGTGAAGGACAATGAGTGATTGAGTATGTTCTGATCTTGGGACTGAATGGCTAGGACTCATCCCAGAGTCCATCCCAGAGTCATCTTTGCTAGAACATAAGGCAGAGTGGCACCACAGGAGGACCTGGCTGTCTCTAACAGGGTTGCAGCAAATGGCTGGGAACTTGCCTGAGGAGGTGTGAGAGTCTTCCTAAGAATGGGTCTTGGTGTGGTGAGTGGACTCTTGGTCCCTCATGTTTTCCTCAGCTTGTTGCAACTGTTCACATGGGTTTAGTCTTGAAGAGAACACTCTGCTGATCATGCGGGTCTTCCTGGTGCATTTCCCATGTCAGAGGATCAGGACCCAGGTGATACAGTGACAAGAAAGTGTGTAAGTCCTGAGCACGTGTGTGAATGTGGATACCTGTGTGGGATGAGCTGCCAGAAGATACGAAGAAGCAAGGAGAATGAAGTAGTTAGAGACTGCTCATGGACAATAAGGATGATGTACTCTTGGGATTCCTTAGAAACCTTTCCTGCAGGGAAGCCAGAGACAAGAGGCAGCTGAGTGGAACAGAAAGATATAAAATGAGACTATGTTTGCCCTTGGGTTTTGAAAGGATTGGGTCTGAGACTGGGGAGTGGTCTCAGAAAATGTCACAGAGATAAGGGCTGAGTGGGGTGGTCTTCCATTGCCTACTCCTCCTTCACGCCAGAAAGTGTTCTTTGCATTTGCAAATTCAAACACTTAATAATGAGGCTGTCATATCCAAGAGCATGCAAGTAAGAGATAATTCCTTTGGTCAAGCAGTTAGTAAATACAGAAAATGACTGAGGATTGTCAAAGATGTATTGTTGATTAAAATTTTGTTGATAAATGGCTTACACAGAATACTAGACAAATGACTTCCATTCACTAAAGCATTTCTGCATGTAGCCAGTTGAATTTGATATCTGTTTGGTGATTATTCCATTTAAGAATATAAATACTACAAGAGTTCAGATGGTAAATGTCACACAGCAAGGAGTAATTGACATTTTCCTATACCTAGAAGTCCCCCCTCCCCAGCTGATTCTATATGGTTAACTTAAAATGTTTAAAGTCTGTTTTTGAATTATGTGATTTTGGTAATCTTTTATTTGAATATAATATTGATATATACAGCCATAGGCTAATCTTTAGGGCAAACGTATTGTTATTTTAGTCAATATTTTGTGTGCAGTTTTGTGTAACTTCAGAGTATCAAAAGTGTGAAGCAGACCTTTGTTACCTTGACAATGAACATATTCATTTATAGCACTGTGTGGTTGATCTTGGGAAAAGTTTTATGACTTAAACCGTGGTCATTGATGAACACATTGGTTCCATCTTTTGGCTATTGTGAATTGTGCTCCTATGAACACAGGCATTTGCTTAACCTTGCAAATATTTTTTTTTCTTTTAGTACTTGTATAGTTATTTTTTTTTTTGGTGTAGATCTTGAATTCATTTGATGCTTTTACTGGAGTATGGCCTATATTAAATTGGGCCTTTAATGCAATTGTAAGTCTGCTCCTTGTGTCCACCTGTCTTTATGGATATCAGTTTTAGATAGAACATGCTTCTATATCTAGTAAGGGAGATTGTCTCATAAGGTGGAGAGAAAATTTCCTTGAAGAGAGATATGTCTTTCTAGTGTGCCCCAAGATGGTGGGGAAAGTGAGACCTAAGGGAGAAGAGAACTGTTATGATTTTGATCCAAAATGTCCCCCCAAAGTCACATTTGTTCAGGGTTGGGGATTTGCAAGGTGACTGGACTATTGGGTGCTATACTCATGAGTGGATTAATCCATCCAGTCCATAGCTGAATGTGCTGTTAGGAGGTGAGGCCTGGTTGGGGGATGGTCACTGGGGCCATGGCTTGGGAGTGTATATTCTTGTACCTGGCTCCTCTCTTTCCCTCTGCCCTTAGCTACCATAGGTTGAGGAGCCTTTCTCTGCCATGCCTTTCTACCATGCCATTTCTACCTTGGCACCAGCTGAGTATACATGGACTAGACACTCTAAAGTCATGAGTCCAAATAAACCTCTCCTCTTTTAAGTTTTGGCAGTTGGAAATTTGTCCCAGTGACAGAAAAGTGAATAATATAGGACCATATTGTTAAAGGGAAAAAGAAGCTCATTCTGATTCTTAGGACCTTGGGAAGGAGAAGGATTTCATTTGACTTCATTTTCCTGGAAGAGTTCAACTCAATTATGACACACATTTGATGTATATTTGCTATAGTCTTTGTGTTTGTGTTCTTCCAAAATTCTTATGTTGAAACTCAATACTCAATTTGAGGAAATTTGGAGGGAGAGCCCTTGGGGACCAATTACATCATAAAGGCAGAGTCTGTGTGAATGGGATCAGTGCCTATACTATAAAAGACCCCAGAGAACTCCTTTACCCTTTCTGATGTATGAGGACACAGCAAGAAGATCCCTGTTTATGAACTAGGAAGTGGGTCCTCACTAGTCACAGAATTTATCTTGGACTTCCTAACTGCTAGAACTGGGATAAGTAAATTTCTGCTGTTTACAGGCCAACATTTTGTTATAGCAATTCAAACAGACTGAGACAGTACTGAATGTTGTTTAATGAACAAAAATTTGCACTCTAGATGGGACACTTTTTAAGGCTTGTCTGGTGTGCCCCAGTGTAAATGTGCCAGTCACAGGGGGAAGAAGGTAATGTTTCAGTCTGATTCTGCTGTTTGAAAGCATCTCATTGTTCTATTTATCCAGGGTAGATAGCTTGAGATCCTGGTGAAGACTTCTGGAGTAGTCCCACGTTCCTTGTCCCCATAGGAGACAATACCCTGGACCACACTGTTACATACCAGGGGGCCACCAGAGTCCCCCTGTAGGCAGAGAGGAGACAGAACACTAAGCCAGGCCTTCCTGCTCCCCTAAAGTCCTGTTTGTCAGAAAAGGCAGGGACGGATGGGTTTTTTCAACTGTATGTGTGAGATGGCAGGTTGATGGGAGTGCAGGAGAGCAAAGGGTGGCCTATGGACACTACCTCTTAGTGGCTGGGCTTTACAGTCTCCAGATCAAGTAGATTCAAGGTGCTTTCACCTTTTCAAGGAAAATGTTGCATATGTGTTGTGGGTCTTCTTCCCATTCCTTCAGAGATTATATTGATGGGAAAAGATCTCCACTGCACTTTGATCTGGTCTGGCTACTAGACTGAGGTTGTGGAGGAAAGGAATTTGTTCCCATTGCCTATGCTCGGCTGAGCCCGCCTGTCCCCGGAAGTATAGGCAGATGTCCATGTGCTTACCTTGAAGGCAGCCTTCCTTTGCCTTGGATCCCCCACACAAATCTGAATCCGGCTGCTGTAGGAAGGAAAGCGACGGGTGCACTTCCGATTGCTCTGCACTCTCAGCTGCACTTCCTGGAGTTTGTCTGACCATTCATGCAGGTTGATCCAGCCCCAGCCAGTAACTGTACACAAGGCCCCAGGCCTAGGCTTCTCCCTGGCATTAGGCAGGGCCACTGGCCTCACGAATCGATTCCGTGTGATTCTGTTCCTCAGCTGTCAGGAAGAGTGCAGGCAACCTTTCTCAGGTGGGAGTCCCAACCAATGCTTGGGGACTGGTTGTATAGCACTCACCTCATGTTCCTCCAACCTACTGCCCTGGAGCCCTGCCTTTGCTTCCTCCACCAATGTCCCAGGACACATTGAAGCCACCACACTGGGAGAGACCAGACTAGGCCAACAAACCAAAGGGTCAGACAGGCAGTACCTGAAGTAACATGATGTCATTCTGGGCATTCTTTTCATTGTATCTGGGGTGACGGATGGCTCTGAGCACAGTGACCTGTTGCTGGGTCCTTTCCTGCTTCTCAATGTTGTGGGCCCCTAGTGTGACATTTATGGCACTGGAAAGCAAGGAATGGCCTATGGGTAAGTATGAGAAGCAGAAGCTATGGTCCAATAATTTTGCAGTGCCATGGAGATCCCTGGCAGGGCAAGACTGCAGCTGGAGAGAGGAGAGAATGGAAAAGTCCCAGAGCTGAGCCCAGACCCTTGTTGCTCAGCATCCCTGAGCTGGAGATTAAATTGTAAAATAGCTTGAGTTCATATTTTGAGCCTCAGTACATGCTTTTCATCTTCCCTCGTTATTTTCTCCTCTTTTATACTAGCCTCTTACCTTCTGTTTCCCCCATCCTTCCTGGTCTTTTTCACCCTTTCATGGCTACTAGTGTTGCTTTCAGATAGCTGCTCTGAGGAGTTCTTCTGTGTCTATACCCCAAATAGTTCTTGAATTCTCACCTTCCCCAGCAATGACCTGCTGTCATCACAAAGTCTTCTCGTACAAGGAATCCCCCACAACTGCTCAGACCTTCTGGACTCTCGACCTGAAGATATGCCATATAGGGGTGGGAGTGGGGCCTGGCCTCTTGTCCTCCAATGATCTTCCCTGGAAGGAAGCATTCGGCACTTACCTCTGTGCTTGAGAACCTGCAGGGCAGGCAAAGGTTGGTGGCTTCAGAAAGTCTGGAGGGTGGGAGGGCAGGAGAGGTGATGTGGGAGAGAGAGGAGCTGATGGTGAGGGTTGGGTTCTGCAGGTGCCAGATGCGGGGAGGTGGCTCCCAGGCTCTGCAGACACCACTGCCACCCCAGACCTCATCTCACTCCCCTCCTCTGCAAAGGGAGAACAATGGTTGCTCCAGGCAAGGCCACTCTCAGCTTCAGGTCTGGAGGAGAGAGGCTCTGTTGTTATCTAGCATGAACTCTCCTTGGAGTTCACTGGCACTTTCTCCCTCAAGGAACTTTCCACATCCCTCTCTGAGTCCAGCTCATGGACAGCATAGGACTTTAAGAAACTAGAGCTGAGCTAATGGGACTGTTCCTTCTGTATCTCTGTCTCCTAGGCTTTGACATGTGGGCTAGAGAATGAATTTATATAAAATATACTCACACAACACTCACCTTATAGCAGGGTCAATGCTGTGCACATTAATAATTTAACTCTCACAGCAAATCTGTAAGGTTGCTACCAATCTCCTTCCAATTTAACAGTTGAGGAAATATGAATTCAAATACATGCTCAAGCATCTAGAATGAGGATGTGCCAAAGCAGTGTGGCCCCAGGGTCTGCGGGATGGGACCAGACCTCTGAGGTTGGGGTTGTTCACTCACCCGCCTTGGCCCCAGGGAGTAGGATCAAGGCCAACAGGAGCAGGAGTGGCTGCATCCTGCCCGAAAGTCTGCTCAGTCAGTTGCTGCATGTATCTCCTCCTGCCAGACTTTTAGCCTTTGAGAAAGGAAGGAAGGGGTAGGAGGGGGCTTGAGAATTTGCAGTCCCACGGTCCTGCTAGTGTGGTGGTTGCACCACCCAGGGCTGCCTAGGAGGTTTGCCCACCAACTGCCAGTGATCTGGGCAAAGCGGGAATCATCCAAGCCAACGTCCTGATCTCCCACTGAGTTGCTGAGTCAGTGGTGACAGCAGAAAGAGGAACTCAGGGCAACCAGAAGGGGGCCTTGGAGCTGTGTGCTCCAGAAACCTCAACCCACTCAAGCCCCCAGTACCTCCAAGAAGACATGAAAACAGGCAGCTGCCTACTCTCACCATATCCTATCCCTGTGACTTCAGAGCTTCCATGGCTTGGAATTTCAAGCTTTCTGTTAATGAATGCAAAATCCCTGGGTCACGTATTCCTAAATACTTAGTAAGGCTTGGGCAAGGGTTAATAAAACCTGGTGTGGTGTGGTAGAGGATATGGTTGAGGACATCAGGAAAAAGTCAAAGGGAGCTGAAGAGGAAGAGTCAAGCTTGGCTGTCTCTACCCTCTGGCCCAAGGCCACCCTGCTGTGGTCCCTGTTACTCCTACTTCTCTGTCAATGCAGATTAAATAGCCACTCTCCTGAGAGGGTGCAGTGTTTTGCCAGAAAGACACAGAAAGAACAAGGCTTTGTCACTAGTACATACTTTTTAAAATCAACCGAGTCAGACAAATCCTTGGTAAAAATTATGCCCATCAACAAAGAAATAGATAAAAAAATGGTAAATATACACAAGGGAGTTCTGTAAGTCATAAAGACTATGGTTTCAGTCATTTGTAGGAAAATGGCTGGGTCTTGAGACTGTAATTTTAAGTTCAATAAATCAGACACAGAGGCTTAATATCTCATAGTTTCTCTTATATTCCCCAAATTATAAATAATTCCAAGAGCAAATAAAAGAGAGATAGTAGGAATCAAGGAGGGAGGTAGACTAAGGAATCTGGGGAAAAGGGTGTGGTAGGAAGGGGAGTAGTAATGATCAGGATGCCATACATGTGCGTACTAATTCATCAAGGTGATTACAATTACTAAGTATCACAAACACATACTAAAAAAGAATGTCCTTAATCTGATAAAAGTTATTCACCGAAGTCCCACTTTTATTGTACTTAATGGTGAAGCAGGAAATAGAAGTAAAAGCTATAAGGACAGGAAAGGAGGAAGCAAAATTGTAATGATTTGAGAAATGATTGTATACACAGAGAATCCAGAAAAATCCATAGCTTAATTACCAAAATTATTTAAACTGTTTAATGAATTTGGTAGTAAAGCAATTTAAAAAATTATTCGTATTTATACATGTTCAGTAACAGTGTTAGAAGTTGAAAATTAAAAATATTAATATTTACATGGCATGTAATGGCCAAACTAAGCATAAATCTGAAAGAATATGTGTAATGTATCTTTGGTACAAATGATAAAATTGGATGAAGAGACATATAACAAAATCTAAACATAGATTCTATATTTATGAGTTAGACATGAAATATAAAAATGTCATTTTCCCAAAACTGAACAATATATTTCTTGAATGTGAAAAATAGTTTGTAAAAATTAACTCATTCTAAATATATTTGGGAAAAACAAATGGCTCCAAATAGCCAGGACAGTATTAAAAAACAAGAATAAGATGGGAGGATTTGCTTATAAAATAAAGTCATAGTAATGAAGATG